ACTAAAAGAAAATGGCGAAATGGTCAGCGTGACGTAATTGAAAAACTAATATCTTTTTTGATTAGATTTAACACTCAGGTTACATCCTAATAAACGAGCAATTGATCAACGCGACCTAACTCAAACACTAACTTTCTTTCGATTAATCTAAACACTCGCGTTAAATTTGAATAAAGGCGAAAGGTCAGCGCGAATGAAATAACTACCAGTCTTCTTTGCACCTAACTCTAACTCTCACGATAAATTAGAATAACGGCGAAAGGTCAGCGCGAATTTTCTAGGCACTGATTTCCTATACCCTCAATTCTAACACTTACATTTTAATTCGGGGAGATAACGAAGGTCAGCACGAATTATCTAGAACACTGATTTTCTCTTCGGTCACCTTTTACTACTCCCGTCAATTCAGGGAAATGGCAGAATGGACAGCGCGAATCACTCCACGTACTAAAGAAGATCGGCGTCGATGGATCTACGCGTCGCGGCAACCTGTTAAGCCGAGAAATTCACGCCCGCACTCCGCAATTACTAATAGTGAGTGGCACTTTGCCTACTTACGATTTTCGGTGGAAGATTCTGCGAGCGAAATTGAGAAATGAAGCTGTCTGACACAGATCACTCGTTCTAGCTTTAAGGATAGCGGCAAATGAACGAGAATCAACTTTTCGCGGTCAAAGATCACTTTTCCTCTCCTCTTTCCGAGAAGAAAGCCTATTATTGGCCGATATACTAATTTGGATATCGGTAGCGCCCTCCGAATATTTCGTCATTGGTCAGTATGTAAATTAGAAAAAGGAACAGCGCCCTCGTCTTATCTTCTAGCGCATCGATTTTTACCCTCTCTCACCCCCCCCCCCCCCCACTAAGTAGGTCAGCATTAAATCTATGAGAAAGAGTTATTCCTATTCTTGTCTAAATTTTGATGAGGACGGAAATCAAATATTCTAATGATTTGTCTATTGGTCGAGACGTCATCAGCGAGTTTCGTCAGGATTTTAAATTTCGTTGGCTAGCTATTAAGTTTAGTGAATACACGGCTTGTCGCTTTCGAGTGTACATAAAAGAGTTTAAAATTCATACATTATCAGTGTCAATTAATTGGTAGCGCATTCATGATATAAATCCATACAGATATTATTGTTCGTAACAATTATTATTAGGTCGTCTTGTCATTATTGGTAGTTCTATATAAATGGCCTAGCCGGATAAGATGGTCGAAACTGCCCCCAACGGTTAAGCCAAGCGGAATATGGCATCTTGTAGGGCTTGATTAGAAACTCTTTTGACCAAATTTTCAGACCCCTAGGTGGCCAGGGGCACCCTGTAGGTCCAAAAAAGGATCAAACCGTTTTTTGAGATAACTCGGCTTCTATAATAGCTAACGGAACCAGCCGAACGGTAAAAAATTTGTCTTAGAAAGATCTATATATTAGAATTTTTCCAGATTTTTTGGCGCCAAATTCAAATTTTTAGAACGGTTTCTAATTTTTAAAAATTGAAAAAAAAAAACAAAAAATAACTCCGAGCTTGAAAAAATTTATTTTGTTTATTTTATATTCCTCTATATACTCACATTTTTTCAGATTTTTTCAAGTGGTGGAACATCGATAAAAAAATTAATAATCATTTTTCGATCATTTTTCCTACGTTTCCGACGTTTCATTCAATTCCATCGATCGAAAATCATTCATTTTTCTATATTTTGTCAATTCTATAGTTACTGCGGTTATATATGATGTCTTTATACCATCTAAATGTAGATTGAAATTGAGTTACTGAATGTAGGTCCTTATTTTGGAGTCTTTGTCTTGAAAACGCGTAGAGATTATTTTTTGCAAATAATTGTATTTCTGATATCAATGAGGCATTTTGCCTTGTGATGTCTCCGGGTAAGATGGCGAATACCTGGGGACAAAAATGTACAGGATTCATATGGGAGTCGGATATACTATCTGGTTCAGCATTTTTTCTGTCTTGGGAGGCCGAAATTAGCGGGTTATCGACCGAGCATTTCGGCCCGCAAGACATAAAATGTCTTATGGAGCTGGAGATTCCTTCAAGTTGAGCTGCTGCATCTATTGAATGTGAAGTATTTACTAGTATCGTTATTTTATACATATTCCAAAGTGAATGATTGATTCTAATATTCATAATTTTATATACAAATTATTTCACTCTTGATTGCTGTGTTTACGTACTGTAATTCAGTATAAATGTATCAATTTGTAATAACAACATGATCTGAAGGAAAGTGGAATGCGGACTCGGCCTAAAAAAACGGACCGGTCGAATTTATTAAACAAACTCTTGACAGCCTTAGACCTAGGTCAAACGTACATACTTCCTGCATCAAATCAAATAACAACCGGCCTTTGCAAAAAAAAAATGTTTTGTAACTGAAGGTTTCCTTTTATGTAATTAAATCCATTTTATTTAATATACAGTGAATCAGTGGAATTTATTTTCAAGAAGAAAATAATCGATAACAATAATAATAGATTCAGGATTTGAGCATAGGTGTGTAGTTTTTAATTATTTATGTGACTATTTTTCAATAAAGTTTATGAAGCATATTAAGAAATTATCATTGAAATCAATATGTACAGAAAAGATGGAATATATTTATTTATTTTACAGTAAATAAAAACTCCAAGTTTCTTCTCTATTAATAGTATTCTACCTTTAATACGTTTATATTCATTCAGTAAATTATTGAATACATTTACTGAAACCATGTATCTTTGTTTGTTTATTATAATTTCACTACTCTTTGGTATTTGTAAGACTTCAAATCGGGTGTTCTTTTAGTTGAGCTATAACAAAAATAAAATATCCAATTTTTTTATTAAGCCTTACATGTTGATATTCCACTTCATATTAAAGTCAAAATTCCACCCTAGATAACAACAACAATAATAACAACAATAATAATAATAATAATAATAACAACTTCCTGTTAGTTTTATTCTATTATTTGCTATAAATATATTCTAATCAATGGACACATTGTTACTGCGTACCAAAAAAACAGAAGTTATCAACATTTTGATTCTTACTAAATCAAGTGTCATCTGCATATGTCATAATAAGATGATCAAGTTGAACAAGAAGATCATTAAGAGGACCAGCTAGTGTTAAAGCTAAAATTAACGAAATAAATATTCAAAGTAGAATTATTGAGAATTGTATAGTAATGAATTTTTACTTCTGACATAGACAAGTATGTGCACTATGTTTTACTAATTTGATTTATGAATCAGAATCTTATCGCTATATACTTCTTGAGCTATATATTCAGTTTAAATTGATCATTTTTAATGTTTATACGATGCTCCACCATGAAAATATCAAATATATCCAATATAATGTATTCGACCAAACATCTTTGGTTTCTAGTCAGAAATCTAAAAGTCTTTCCTAACAATCAACTTTTATTGAACTTCACACATGTATTCTACATATAAAAAGAAGAATTTTGGTCACCTCCAGAATTTCTTAGACCATTTCAAACCCAAGTTATTGCTAATTAAAGGTTTTTTAAAACCAATTTTCAAAAAGTTTCATGCCTCTACTACTTTGAGCAAAAAAATTGCTTGAAGGCTCATTTTCTTCCTTCAAATCAATAGAACAAAGTCTTAGATCCCAATTTTTTTCCAGGTATTTTTTACAGCAAACTAAATCAAAGGATATCAAGCAATTACATAGAAAATACTATTTTTCAATATAATTAATCTATAAATTCTGTATATATTGGTTTTGTTTGAAAGCAATTCAATCCACCACTTTTCCAAAACCAAGACTTTGTTCTATGGGTCTTGAGGAAGAAAATGAGCCTCCGAACAATTTTTTTTGTCAAAGTAGTATACCTACGCAAGGATTATTTTTAAAAATGCCTTTAAAAAAACCTTAAAATATTAATAAATTGGGTTTGGCATTGTCTAAAAAATCCTGCAGGTAACCAAAAGTCTTCTTTTTTCATGTGCATACACACAAAGTTTCAAGAAAGTTGAATGTTAGGAAAAAATTTTACGATGTTGGTCAAATCAAGTAGCAACCCACCTTAATATGATTTCAGTTGTAATTTCACTTTTCAAAAATATTCATGAAGATCCACTTCATTTCCATTCGAGTTTTGTTGAATAAAACCTGTAAATAATAACAAAGCACTCACAAAGAGTCATATTCTACCTATTATTACAATACTAGAGTTCATCAATACTTATCTGAATGGGTGTCATGTTTTTGAGTATACATTGAAAACTGTACTTGTCTTATTACTGAAAACAATTATCTCACACAATAATATTAACAAACATGCGAAGTGTGCAATCTATTAAGAAGAGTAAAAGACAAGATACTGTAAACAGTAAATATAATGACATGTCCAACTAACCTTAATGCTACAGGGGGTCTAGGCAGAGTGTGGCCAAACCGCGTCTCTCGCACTGATTAGTCGAGCCAGTTTTGGGATAATATGGCGTCCATCCCCATGCATTAGTATATCTATATATATAGTGCAGCTTCGTTTCCAGTATGTTTACGTTATGGACTGAAACTATTGACGTTGATTCTTGTTGATTTTTACATTCGCATCGATTTAGTAATTTAGTCAAGTACTTGATAAAATAAAATGATGTGTTGAAAACAATATTGCACCTCGCTGACATTGATGCAAATGCTTTGATTTGCATTATTTATTATGTATTTCTATATATATCCTTATTTCTATAGACGTAGATGGTTTATTTTTGCACTGAAGTTCCATTTCAATATTCATTCTTTTTCATGTAGTGTATTAATCAGATGAATAATCAAAAAGTGAAACCCTGCATTGAAACTAAAACCTAAAGGTATTTCATTTTGGCTTGCGCGCGCTCGTATGACGTCACATTTGAGACAATATGGCGGCCATTGGCCACACTCTGCCTAGACCCCCTCTACTTAATGCAATCCAACAGACCTTTATTATTGTGTGACAGATCGAGACGTCACGTGTCGTAATGGGCATGAGGTATGATCGTATGGATCGTATGGATCAATTTATTGTATTTTAATAGTGTAGAACCTAAATCATTTCTTGATGAAATTAAGTCAATTTCGATAAATACATTTTTTAGATAAACCAACGCCCCATGATATAAAACTTAATGTTTCATCCGTTTTCTATTTCTTTCTACTATAAAACTCAATATGTTTTATATAAGTGATTTCTATTCAATTTCAGGTTCATTATGTCTTCCACTACAAATACAAAACAACATTACAAAAATTGTATTAGATGCAACTTGAATGAAAGAAAATCAACGGGCTACAAAAGGTTTATTCAATCACAATCTGTGGTGGATGATTTGAAAAAATGTCTTAACGTTGATGCTGAAATTGACGATTTTATCTGTAGCAAGTGTTACGCTGTTTTTTCATGTACGAGGAGTAGGTTGACAAAAGAAGAGGCGACAACAACAAATCAGTCTGAAGATAGAGTATCCCAATCGTTCAGCCAACTATCTGTTTCTTCAACAAATTCGTCTCAACAAACTGATCCTGGAGATCCTCCTATATTGTTTACTGAACGAAAGATAGTCGAGGAAGACGAAATAGAATTACCTATACCAAGATGTATTGCCACACATAAATATTGCTGTATATGCAGAAAAGAACGTAATCTTATGGCAGTACCAATGGAAGCCCGGTTGCAAGTTTTCACTGTGAGGAATATTTTCATTCCCGCTGGTAATTGATGTTGCAAAGATCATCTTATTAAAAAACGTTTATACGAAGAAGTTATGAATAACATCATAGCAACATCTAATATTAGCAGTATGAAAGCTTCTGATGTTTCTAATTTTTTACAAAAGTTCAGAATAGATGTTGATAAAGAGCTTACTGACAAAGTTGGAGATTTTTCTTTACCTGAAAATCGTCTCATCATTTTCACGGGCTTCACGTGGGAAAATCTTTTTGAACTGCGTGCAATGATGACATCACTACGTAATTCAGATTCTCGAAATGTCACTCAAGCCATCGTCGTATTTTTATTCAAACTGCGAACAGGCAAATCTAATAACGTTATTTCTTCTGTGCTCGGTTTGGAGCGTCCTCAACAAGTGTCTGATTTTTCAGCTTCAGTATTAGAATCATTTGAAAAATATGTGCTACCATCTCGTTTTGGTATAAAAGCAGCGAACCGACAGTACTTGATAGAAAATCACACTGCTCCAGTCGCAAAATTATTACACGATTTGAACGATAGTCAACTGGGTTTAGTATGTGATGGTACATATCTTAGGCATGAAAAAAGTACAAATAACGAATATCAACGTAAATCGTATTCAGGTCAAAAAAAAGCTCCGTTGTGCAAACCCTTTACAATTTGCACAACTAATGGTTGTATAGTAGACATGTTGTGCCCGTATTATGCGAATGTTAACGATGCAAAAATACTTGAAGATATTTTTAATGATCCAGAAGGTTTAGTCACTCTTTTAAGGCCTGGTGATAAATTTTTTTTGGACAGAGGTTTCAGAGATGTTATTTGCAAGTTAACTGAAATGGGGTATGAAGGACTCATGCCAGCATTAAAAGGTCAACGAAAACAGCTAACAGCCACTGAGGCAAATAATTCACGCATGGTTACAATTGTACGTTGGGTAGTTGAAGCAGTCCACGGTGTTATCAGCCAAAAATACAAACTTTTACATAATCAATTTGACAATAAAATGATTCCGCACGCAGGAACATACTGTCGCATAGCTTGCTTTCTTATCAATCTATTTGGGAAAAGATTCGTCTCCAGCATTTCTAGTAGTGAAGAAGTGGTTAACCTTATGAAAAGGAAAAAAGACACGGGCAACAGCTTGGCGGAAGAAGCGGAAAGTGGAAGATGGAGTAGGCGAAAAACGAAATTCATGAAACTAACTTCAAACGATATTTTAGATTTTCCAGAAATGACAGAAGAAGATTTGAAAATTTTTTTCACAGGAACGTATCAGTTGAGCCAAGCAATTTCGTATTTAGCTGAATTAATTGATGAAGAGGGTCGAGTAAATATTGATTATCTGAAGGAATCATCAAGTGTACTCAAAATTCAAGTTCGTTCTCGCCACATATCTGCCAAAACATATAATTGCTACATAGAATATACTCCTAATTCGATTGGATATGGTGGAGTCAAAAGATACTATTGTGAATGTGCAAATGGAATGAGAACCGTTGGTTGCTGTTCACATATAGCTTCAGTAATTTACTTTTTATCGCATGCTCGATACTTGTCTAAAATTATAAGGCCGGCTGAAAAATTGACAAAAATCTACCAAGAAAAAGAAATAGTTCCTGTCATAAATGATGATAGCGATGAAAATTAAATAAATATTAGAATAAACGCCTCTTCAAAACGATCTACTTTGGTAATTTATTTTTATCCTCTTATTTGCTGTTGGTACTGTTAAGGTTTTGTGATTTTATTATGAAAAAAAAAGATAACATTCGTATCAATCATATGGAATTCCAACAGTGTGGAACTTGCTCATAAAAAATATAGAAATATATTCAATCGTAATATTTTATTGATGCATCTTATATCAATTTAGTTTGGAGAATATTAATCGGAAGTTACAAATCCTTTGCGATATGTAGAATAGAGTAATTTTCTGGTAACCGTTACCATATTTCTTCTCTGTGTACAATAATTGATAAATATCATTCACTATATTACACGGAACGTTGTAGAAAAATTCTCAAAAAATTATCCGCTGATTTATTCATCTCACTGAATATATAATCGAATAAGAGGTTCAGCCAATGATCAATCTACATTTAGATGGTATAAAGACATCATATATAACCGCAGTAACTATAGAATTGACAAAATATAGAAAAATGAATGATTTTGGATCGATGGAATTGAGTGAAACGTCGGAAACGTAGGAAAAATGATCGAAAAATGATTATTAATTTTTTTATCGATGTTCCACCACTTGAAAAAATCTGAAAAAATGTGAGTATATAAAGGAATATAAAATAAACAAAATAAATTTTTTCAAGCTCGGAGTTATTTTTTGTTTTTTTTTTCAATTTTTAAAAATTAGAAACCGTTCTAAAAATTTGAATTTGGCGCCAAAAAATCTGGAAAAATTCTAGTATATAGATCTTTCTAAGACAAATTTTTTGCCGTTCGGCTGGTTCCGTTAGCTATTATAGAAGCCGAGTTATCTCAAAAAAACGGTTTGATCCTTTTTTGGACCTACAGGGTGCCCCTGGCCACCTTGGGGTCTGAAAATTTGGTCAGAAGAGTTTCTAATCAAGCCCTACAAGATGCCATATTCCGCTTGGCTTAACCGTTGGGGGCAGTTTCGACCATCTTATCCGGCTAGGCCCTTTCAATTGAATTCGAATACGCATACAATAAATTAAATAGCGCTGGTCAATTACATACGCGTCTTTAGTTATTTCTTCTATCTCTTTCTTTTAAGATTGCTCGCTATCTAACTATCGCGCTCCCTCCCCTTTGCTAAGCCTATCTTGCTCGGTTCAGTATAGTCTACCTCGCTTCCATTTATGTTTAGTCTATCGCTCTCCCGCTTGATCGAGTTCGGCTCTTTAAAATGGCCGCCCGCTCTCTCACGCATAAACGTCGTTTCGGTGCCGGTCTTTGGAGCGCCTCCTGGAGCGCTTCTGTTTCGGTTGCGTGATGTGAATTATTCGAGTGTTGTGTTCGTCTCTCCGGGTGCCACTAGTGGTCAGCATCAGTTTGACTGTGTGGCGCTATGGATGTCGCCGATGGTGCGCAGCAACCTGACACAGCTGATTACCGGCTGCCGCTTCATCGGCGATTTTCTGCTCGCCCCAGATGTGCCAGCGTTCTACAGGTGTCAGTGCTAGTGTCTGGGAGTGTAACGGACTTGCATGTGTCATTAACATGCATTACCGTTGCATTTCCCAGTAAAGTTTCCTGTGTTTTCCTCTCCGGTCGGCAACACGTGGGCGTGAGTTAGCGTTAGCTCTCTTATTTCATGTAGTGCGTTCCATTTTTATTAGAGTATCCGTCGGATTGCCATCGTCAACTTGTTTCGTTAATTTCTCCGATGTTGGAGTAAGTACATAAAAAGAAATAAGTGTTAGTATTAGGGCGCGTTTGGGTTCGCATTATACGGCTGGTTACGGGGCGACAAGGGAAGGGGATGGCTTTCCTGAGGTGTTGCAAATAATGCAACACTCTTAGGCAAAGCCTTGTAATATACCGCATTACAATTGCTTGATAAAATAAATTTCATCGAATAATTACCGTTAATCGTGATAGATTGTTTGAAACAAAATGAATCTATCGAAAGTGTTCCTATAGACGTCCGGCTAGAGTTTGACACTAAAGAAGATTTTCCTGATAATACTGCAGCCTATTGTTTAATTCTACACGATGAATTGTACAGTACAATTCAATCAGCGGTGATGTAAAGAAATTAGTTTAATATAGTTTAATAAAATGTAATTAATACAATTAAATATAAGCTAAATAAATTAAATGTATAAGTTACTGTACACCACGTTAAATTTTATGAATGAAAGCATTTTTATTTCAAATATATAAGTTTTTTACTCGATACTTAAAAATTCAACATAACTATATGTAACTTTACGGTTCACTCTCTTCATTCCACTAGGACAAGAGACTGATACGTCTATCTCTCTCTATCACTAATTCTTCTCTCTCTCTCTCTCTCTCTCCCTCTGTCTTTTCTCAACATCTCTAATATAGTAATGTAACGTCGGTTGACGAGATAATTTCAGGCGCACTTTTTGGTCTATCCTTTCGGACAATAACCGGGACGTGGGTTGCCACTATCGTGGGAAATTCTCTTTTCGGCGACGGAGGATTGAAGCTTTACCATACCACACGCTTGGCAATATAGCAATGCTTCGCTTTATTTTACCACACTCTTGGCAATAAAATAACGTAAAAGGGAGCCTATCTAATATGCACCCGACCACACGCTTGGTAATCGAGTGTAACTATCTAAAAAAAAAAAAACCGTACGCGAAACTTGGAAAGGAAAAAATAAGGAATGAAATGAACTGAAAATTAGAGAAAAATTAATGGAAAGAAGTTAGAGTTTAAATTTTTATTTAATTCTTTTACTCACTTTTTATACTAGTTTTCCTACATACACGGAGATCCTTTTTATAAAATATTAGGCTGAACGGGCTGGACAGAGTGAACGAACTGGAAAAAAACTTGAACTAACTAAACGAATTCAAAAAAATTGCACGAACTGAACGAACTGGAAAAATAACTGCCTAATTTTCTTAAAGAGCTTCCATTTATGCTCTTCGTAAGAGACTCCCACTCTCAAATCCTTGTCGTTTTTGGGCAGGCAGAACTCAAATTTTCTTGACTTAATTGGTTGGAAAATTTGGGGTGTGTCTCAAGCGTAAGCGAAATGCGAACCCTAATTGGCCGGGGGCGGAGTGTGCGGGAGTGGCCTCATTCAAGTGTTTTGGGCCCTCTTCACACAGATGGCCCTCTATATACTATTTTCATCTTTAATTATATAAACTAATTTTATCTGAATGCAATTGTGTGCGTGGTACTCTAATTTTACAAAAATATTATTTAATCTATAATAAAACTAAAGTACAGAACAAAAGTTAAGGATTATATTTATCTGAAAACAAACAAGATTTTAATAGTCTTAACAATTAATTAATTACCAAAAAGCCCTAAGAAATACTGAAAAATCAGAGTTAACTATAATGGATATAGTCATTAACTTTCGTTCAAGTCATTCTTAAATTTTCTAATGCAAAGTTGAGCGCATTCAACGACTAAACACATAAAATTCGCAGTAAAAATCTTAATGAATACGGAAATATAATGAATTATTTCTATATTTCTATATTTATATTTATATATAAAATTAAAACTATCCGAGCAATAAACAAAGACTATTAATCAAAAATAGTCCTTGTTAATTATTTGAATACTACTTGCAATAGATAAGTCTCGCATATTTTTAAGAGATCTGCAAGTAAATGTGCTTCCCTTAATTTAAAAGAAATTAATAAAATTGAGAATAAATTATTTAAAATAAAATAACGGTATTATGGGTAAGATGCACATGTGCGCTGCATATTTCTATTTTCCAAAGATGTTCGCAATCTGGCTACTCCGGATGGCGCGGTTGTAAGCTCGCTCTGATTGCTCCAAACATCCGAAAATTGCCAGATGCGCGAGCCGAAAACTGCCGTTCATAGAAAAAATTTTCTTTACGCGGCTATACACAATTTTTCATCCTAATTCACGAGTTAAGTGTGTGGCTTGTTTTTTTTTTGCCTTTTTTTTTGTTGAGCCGCTGTTACAGTAGCATACTACTGTTCTCCCTTTCCTCTTCAAGCTGACTATAGCTACACGCAAGCCCTATAGGACTCTGTACTATATATATATATATTGTAACAGGCTGCCGTTTAGTCTATAATCACTTGAAAGTACCTTTATATTGACTAGACGACGCCTAGTTATCTATGTGCTCAAAGCACATCACCCTACCTTGCCTCGGAGTGCGCCTGCGCAGAGTCTCTTCACTATTCCGAGTTGGGTTCCCCCAACTCACTGCTTGGCGGCACTGTCGCCCCTTACTAGTAGCGCTCGTGCGGCCGCCGCTGGAACCTAAGTTGTCGATTCCCGTCTACCGGTATTCGCGTGATTCGTGCTACGCTACCGGCGAATTCGAATCAACTGTAAACAAATATAGACACGACCTCCGGACAAAGGAAAGACACAATAACGACTGCTTGACTTAATAAAGATTAATACTCACTTTATTTAACCGTTCCAATTACACGGGGGTTTTGCCGAGAGACTTGCGCACGCTTGCGCGGATGACAACACACGCTAAATGAGAGAGAGAGAAAACCGCGGTTACCGCGAACTAACCGCCCGCACGCAACAACTAATCACCTCGGGCACGCTGCGCGGGACCGCTCGCTATAACAATAATAAAAAGGGGGAAGGTGCACCTACCGCGAAAACGATGAGGATACGGTGGCCAACCGTATCCGAATAACAAATTGCTGAAACGCCGCTTCGCTGCTCGCCGCACCGCCGCGATTACTGTTGCTGCTGTTGTTGTTGCTGCTGTCGCTGCTACTCCTGTTGTTGCTGTCGCTGCTGCTGTTGCTATAGCTGCTGCTGCTGCTATGCACCCAACGTACCACACCAAAGTTCGCGCTATCACCAAGAAAACTTCGAAACGGCTCGGGAAAACAGGTTAACGACACAGGCGGACTGAGTGACACAGTCATACTGCCGGTCGGAGCCTCCCCTCCCGGTCATTGCCCCTACGCGCTCTCTCTCTCTCGCGAACCGAACGCG